GTGAGCCTAGGTCAGTTTTACGACACGTGCATGAACTGCACAGTCACAGTAGTGAAATCTGGGACTGCAGTAGTCTGAGATCCTTTCCTTTCCTCGCAGCTCTGCACATCCTTCGCAGCTGTGGGGAAGCTGTGGCAGCCCATTTCTCCTCCCTCCTTTATCCCCCATTCAGCTACAGTCAACACTTCATTTGAAGCAATGAAATCAGCTTTTATTGACTTACAAATATGAAAAAAAAAAAGCATAAAGTAATCCATCTGAGTAGAAAACAGTAGAAAAACAGGAGCCCCTCATTTACCAACCCTCCCACACTACACCTACTATTACTATTATGCATTTGTAAACATCTGGTGTTTTTATAATATGTTTATTGAGTTTGATATTACTAATGCACTTAGCTTGGTCTATCAGGCAGAACAAGTTATTAAAAGCAGGGGAAAGGAAATAAGAGTGTGGCGCGAAGCTCTAAGATGACACAAATGCACCTTTGCTTAGTTTCTGCAAAGGTAGCACAGAGAAACCTCTGGTTAACAGCAGGCAAAGACAAGTCAAACAATCTCCCAGGCTAAGCAGCTCACAGTCAAACAATGCCAGGGCAGTAGGATATATTTCAGTCAGATGCCTTTTCTTACTAAGGGAACACRAAGACTTGTCCTTTCCCGCCCCCCGTCTACCACATCCAGAGATGCCCTCTGTATTACACCCACGCCAGTAGGAACTGAACAGCACACAAACAGTTTTAAGCAGACAGAAAACATTTCCTACAAATTATCTCTAAGTCAGACCTCCCTTTTTGTCAGTCTTTGAGAAAGAGACTACATTGGGTGCTTGGCTTTTTGCCTCCCTCTTGATTTGTAGTGGCATCCGGCTTCGCCTTGCTCTTTTCTGCAGAAGACCTGAGTTTCTTCAGCCACCTGCACAGAGGGCTGGGCTTGCACAGCTTGTTCCTTGGTCCCTTGCACACCAGGGAGCTCCCAGCCACTGTTGCCTGTGCAGTAGCATTGTCTTCTGCATCTCCGTCTCCTGCTGCTGCAGCAGCCTGCAGAGGCAAGGATGCTTTTGCCCCTCCTGCAGCCCACTCAGCTGCTGCAGAGCTTCCCCAAGTTGCAGTGTGTGTCTGTCTGCCTGGGCTCAGCAGCAAAGAAGCCTTGACTTCTATCTCTTCTGATGGTTCTGCAGGAGGCTGAGCTTCTGCAAGGTCTTGAGGGTGGTTGGTTTGCACTGCTACCTGCGCCACAGGCTCCTGCACATCCTGCTGAGGAGACGAGGCTTCTTGCCTTTCCCTTCCCACATCTTTGTTCTGGAGGCCTGCAGCAGGATCTGGCAGCTCCTCTCTTGAAAGATGGCTCACACAGCTCCCCAGCACAGCCATCAGGGCCTCCCCAGTGACAAGGGCACCAGCCTCCACGTTTCCTCGCCCGGCTTCCTGCCTTCCCATCTTCTCGCTGTTTCCAAAGCACCACCTCTTGTGGCTGAGTTCATTCCCCATGATCAAGATGCACAGCGGCAACCCCACTAAGAGCCCCCTGCCTCAGGCTTTCAGGGGCCTGTACTGATGACACCAGCACAAGCAGAACCTTTATTTGAAGCAGAGAGCCAGGCTGCTTCCTGGCCATTAAGCTGATAGACCCCTCCTGGGCCACTCATCCCACCTGCAAAACATTAAGAAATTCAGTAGGACACAAAGCCCCAGCCCTGTTAAATTTGTGCATTTTATGGACACATTTGATACTGTAGCCCAGTTTTTGAACAGCATGTAATTTTAAAATAGTTTTCAAGTTGACACAAAAATACTTTTTAAGTTCCTCAGACTGAGAGCAAGCTTAAAAATGTAGACACCCAGTATCTATATCTGTCGTAAGACTGGCAATCATCCCCTCACCAGACACTGTTAACATCTTATTTTGGGACCAGGAGCACCTCCCCACCCAATCAAATTAAGATCAAATTTCACATTTCATTTCAGAGCAGATGGGGTGCAARTTGCAGGATTTATTATTTTTAAGCCAGTCTTAGGTGAAGGGGCAGTCTTTTTCAGTCTCCTGATATCACTAAGAGCACTTAGGAAGTCAGCTACTGACTCTAAGCCAATACTGCACTTTACAGTGATTAGTTGGTATTACCAAAGTTAATATTATTTAGGTCTCCTCTTATTTCTTAGTCCATTTGTTAATTGTAGAAAGAAGTTCACTTTAGCCAGAGTAGCCCTTCACAGGCCTGAGAGGGCAAGGGAGGGAAGGGAAAGGCAAATTGTCTCCTGATGAGAGAGMTCAGAAACAGGTGGATTTCAGGGCCCGAGTCAGTGTTTTATCTTTCRTTTACTGAGTAATTAGAAGCCACATCAATGCCATCTCTGCTAATTTGGCTRATAAGAAGAGGCAATATGTTTCAAATGCACAGAAAATTGCACCTSAAGTTATGCTTGCAGAGTGCTGTTGTGAAACTCTAAAATTATTACCATTAGAAAATAGATTAAGTTCTTGGCAGGGAAAAGCAGAAGAAAACCTTGCAGAAAAGGGAAAGAGAGACCCCCACACAGATGTGTTTATTAATTCCCTTTTAAATTTATCTCATGCAGATTAACTAACATTGATAGAAAGAGACAAACATCACTTTAACTGATAATACAATTAAAGAATAATAAAAGACTCCCATTTCTGGCAGAAAGATGAGGCACAAAGGTGCATTTGTATCTTCCTAGCAGTATTTTATTTCCTTTCCCCTGCWTTTAATAACTTGCTCTGCCTGATGGACCAAGCTGAGTGCAATGGTTTTATCAAACTCAATAAATGCATTATGAAAACACCAGATGTTTGCAATGCGTCATAGTAGATGCAGTGTGGGAGGGTTGGTAAAAGCATAAACCCTTTCCAACATCGCAACTTTTTTATTGGGTATGATAAAAGATCACTCTTAATTAAGGTGGACGGTGGCTCCAAACTGTTTCCCCCRTGTCCAGGTCGTTAGCTGCCTTGCGCTGCTTGCTCCAGGACCCAGCCCTGGCMGTTTGAATGGACAGCAAGCTGAGTGGCCTTTGGGGAGCCTCAAATAGCTGATCCTTTCAAGCAGAGAACACAACTATTTCTTGCATGATATAAAATAGGAATCAGAAGCAGGAATTTAAGTAAGATAGAACTCATGTACAGCTCAGTATGATTAGTTCTGCAGAAAACTTAAGGTTGGGCAGGATGGAATGACACCTTACTTCAGGTATTCGGACTGACTTTGCTTTAGGAACTTTTTGAAAGTCCTTCTCTTGTYGCGTTTGTAAGATTACTGATAGGTTCTGTGGCTTTAAATCTGGACTCACATGTTATGGAGGGAAAAAAGTACAAGTAAGCAAGAAAGCTATTTCGCTTCTGAAAGGCAGGAGAAGCTACATTATTTCAAAGTGAAACAAGAATGTTTTGTGTCAACAAAAAGATACTGATCAGCAGAGCAGTTGCAGCCGTGCTTAAGGAAAATGCTGACAGTTCAACCAGCCACTTTTCAGAGCCCTAGAGCAAGTTCTATAAACAATTTATGCAGCTCGTGAGAAACAGATTTATTGTCATTAAGATGTTATTGAGTTTTCATGGATGCTTCAAAGGGAAAAGAAACATACTGTAGCTCCTTGCAACACAACAATACGTCAGATATGAGCCTCCCAAAAATCCCTGGTTTAACTTTCTCAAGTGCGGTCAGGTCAAGCTCTCAAAGTTTTCTGATGAATAAAAGCCCTACTTACGAGAAGTAAAAACAAAAGTTCTAAGCAAAAAAAAACAAAAAAACAAACAAACAAACAAACAAAAAAAAACACCCACACACTACAATCTGCATGATCAATGATCATAAGAGCCATATGAAGTGGTAATGCTGCTCCTGTGTTTATACGGGGTGATTTGTGGCAGATTCACTACTCAAAGAATTTGCTGCTTGTTATCTTAAGAGGGCAGCCTAGAGCCTGGGAACAGAGCCGAGCTATGTGTGCACTGCTCTGCAGTTAGTAAAACCTCGACTTAGGATTTACCTAAAAAGAGAAGATGAGAAAAGTGTTCAAAGATCTGCAAGGAAATCATCGGAAGTATGCTTCATTCTCAGGCTAGCAACAGCAATAGTCATCATGTTATCCAAGAAGAGTAAACACATTCATTTTGACATTAGAGTTGACACAGCTAAAAAATGCAAGTCAATTCTGATATTATTAAAGCCATTGGAGTTGCAAAAGGAAAACATTTCTCAGGTGTAATTTTGGGKAGGATAAAGCTGGGCAACACAATTGCTAGCAGCCAAGAGGAAAGTGTGGCTCAGGAATGGCTAGGAAGCACATCTAAAAAACCCCCCCAAAATGATCAAGACCAAAGGAAAGTGTCAGAACAGAAGCAGATATTTTGTGAAAGGATGAATTGCAAATACCATTTTTGTTTACTGAGGAACATCTTCTGAACAACCTCACTATTTTGACAGATCTTACCCATGGGTCAATGCTTACATTGTAAACAYCCATGTAGTTTTAAATAGAGATGCAGTATCACATAAAACACTTCTCCCAAGTCCCTACAGTATTAGGCTTGCCAAAATATTCCTTTCTGACGAGGCTTTCCTACAAAAGAAAGACAARATATTCCCTTTTCAGGGCAGATGCAGAGTTACTGGGGGCCAGGTCAGAGGCTCCTTATCCAGATTTGCTCTCACTTTCCAGGGAAGTTTTAAACATCAGAAGTAAAATGGAAATGCCACTAAGTAGTGCCTGTAACTCAAGCAACTGAACAAGCCTGTAGTGGGAGAAGCTAATCAGAAATAAAGGTTCCCCCTCTCTAAACAGGCACCCGGGGAAGGGTTATTGCCCTCAGCTGGGGTTTCAAGTGCTTGGACACACTCCAAGCCTCTTCAGGATGGTTTAGCCATCCATCCATCCATCCATCCACAGGTCAGGCTATCAGTTCTGGCCCACCCCAGCACCAGCTTTACCTATTCAGCTATCACAACCTGCCAAACAACTGGCCATTAATGAGCCAACATTGATAGCAACAAGTGTTAAAATGCACCCATTTATTGATTCAAGTTACAGCACAGGCTTTGCTATCCACAGAGCATTCAGCATGGTTGGTTTAAGAGTAGCAGTGACAGGAGGTGTATATATACAGACAAGTGCAATTAATACTTCCTGCTTGGGTACTCCTTGGGCAGTGGTGCAGGGGGACACAGTTATGAAGTGCATAGCACTAGCTAGACTATAGGTGCCCATGGAGGGAAAAAAGAGAATCATTAACACTGTTACACTTTTTGTACCAAAACACACTTTGTTTACCCACCCAAGCAGAGAAGAAAACGGGTTAGAAATTCTCTGCACCCTGTGCTACTATCAGTTCTTCCAGTGCAGCACCATTTTCCAAAATAGACTTTATAATCTGTGGGTCCTTTAGGGTCAAGGGCCCTCTTTGGCACGCACCCCTCAGTCTCTTGCAGGCCTGGGGCAACACATTCAGTGGCTGGGCTGTAGGGAAGCCCTCAGTGTGCTGGGCGCTCGCTGCACCCCATCTCAGGCTCCTTTGGTGCTCCGTTGCACTCTCCACAGCAGACCAGTTCCCCCTCCATGTCAGCTTTCACCTCTTGCTCATGCCGGGTTCCTGCCTGACAGCACGGGATCTCTTTTGATGTCTGCCCATCAGAGATATYAGTCATTTGTCCAGCTTGCTCTGACTCCAAAGAACTTTCTTCCCCATTCTCAGCAGCAGAAGCTTCTGTGTCTTGTTCTGTGTGGGGGTCAGGTAGGAGTGCAGCAGCACAGCAGGCTCTCTCATCTACCATCTGCTCCTCTGCAGAGCTCTGCAAATCCATAACACCCTCTCTAGCCTCTGCAGTCCTCACAGARGGCTCCAACTCCCCCGTGGTGCCTGGGGCAGCTGGGGACTCGGCTGCATTCTGCATAGACACATCCTGGTGAGGCTTTTCAGCACACAGGTCCTCTGAAACACTTTTTGCTGCAACCTCATCTGTGAGAGAAAGCACCCCAGTMTCCAGTGGGATCCCTCTAGCAGGCTGAATTCCACAGGGTCCTTCTTGGATTTCTGCTGATACGTGGACTTCAACCCTCACCATAGTCTGTGCAACGGGTAACGATGCCTGCTGATCAGAAGCAACTTGTGCATTGGGCCTGGAGCCATGAGCAGGATGCAGAGCAGCTGGAGCTGTGCCAGCCTCCCGGGTGCTTTGCCCACCAGCCTGGGATTCCCCAGTTGTCTCTTGGGCACCTTCCTCGTTCTGCATCTCCTCTAGGTTAGGCTCGGCTTCAGGCTCTCGTGGCTCTTCAGCATCCTGTGCATCTTGAGCAGCAGCAGCGCATGGGGGCTCAGCGTGTGGTGCATGCACGCATGCAGCCTGCTCTCCTGGAGCCCGGGCAGCAGGCTTACCTTCAGCAGCCTCAGGCTCGAGTTCCTCAGCAGRAGCAGCTTCAAGAACTTTTTGAGTCCGTCCTATACGTGCCGACTGAAAGTGGTTCTCTCCAGTCCACGTTGAAGCATCCTGGAAAGTACACGCAGTCCCCTGCATCTTTCTCCCCTTGGCCTTAAAAAAGGCAACTTTTTTGGGGAACACACGGAGCCTCCTGTTCTTGCTGAATATTYCTCCCATTGCTGGGTTGACAGGAGCGCCTGCACAAGGGCCTTCTCCTCAAGGGACCGTCACAAGTTCCACACCGGAAGGAGATGAGCAGGGAGCTCTGTGACACTCTTATCCAAGAAGCAGCTTCACACCTGAAAGACACAACCATGTATTTCACATGCACCCAAAGCTGAAGTAGGCCTTTCCTGAAGTCAAAATATTAGGAGTCCCAAGCAGAAAGGAGATTTTTTGTTTGACATTGAAGTCCTCCTATAGAGGATAGGGTTTTTTTCTAGCAGACTACTATTAACTTGGTTCTGGGCCCACCTAGAGGAAAGCAAGCTTAACAGGGAGAGTGTCATTTGCACAGGGGAAGAGAGAATCATAAAAGAGATTACTGCGTGCATTTGCAATCAGAAGCAGATGGTATCATTTATTCCTTAATAAAACTGCTAAGAGAAGACTAGTAGCTCATGCACCAGAGTTGCTAGAAATGTTATTTCACTTTTTGCATCGCAYTTACCTCTGGAGAAGCAAGCACCCAGACCTGCCCAGAGCACTCTGCATACATTCACATCAATTAACTGATACTCAAAGAGCCTTCTACTGTAAAAACATACACAAATCTAGAAGATAAAGAACCCACACCAGAATCAAGCAACAAGTCAACTAATAGGCTCACCCCTGGAACAGATAACATACCATAAACTCCCCTAACCTAAGAGCCCACAGCCCCCTCCTTACCAATGCAACCTCCACCAAACCCCCAGCACCTAAAGGGCAGCAGCCCCAGGTGGGTCTTATATAGGACCAGGGAGGGGGTCACATCAAATCTCTTCCCCCTTTCCCCTTTCCTCCCAATGGTAGTTCTGCCGGGTTGCAGAGGTCCCTCATGCAGGGTTTTCTGACTGTTTTTCCTAAGCAATTCATTTATTGGGCTATGATCATTAAATAATTGCCATTAGCTRTTTAAAATAAAGTTCAAGATGAATATGGTGCAGTGGTGGATGAAGAAAGCAGATGAGTATTTAAGAGTTGGAATGGCAGAATATCAGCCACGCTGCAAGCTGTGTACAAAAACTGTCCTTCAATTTACAAACGATGTTACTACAACTGCAGTCTCTGGTATTCTTTTACCCTGAATGGTTAGTCATGAAAAATTATCCCCCTTACCACTTTTGTGCTCATGTCAAGTGATTGAGTCTCGCAATTAGCTGTTTTACAGTRGTTGCAGATTACTTTAATGTTTCCAGCCACAGCTGATCACCCTCTATTGGCATTAATGTTACTGTATCACTCTGGTTATGTTTACTGACTGGAAGTCAGTTGTAACGGTAAATAGGTCACCCRGGCAAAACACAAAAGCAAATATCCATTAAAAGCAAAGTAATTCCAAAGACATGAGCATGAAGGCAGACCCTAAATACCCGCTGCCAACAGCAGTGCATGAGAACAGGAGCAAGAGGATACACAGCAATGGATTCTGGCTATTTTGTTAAAAAGCAGGCTTACRTTTTTTGATGCCAGATCTGGTTGAGTATCCTGTATTCCATCTCCCTTCTGTAATTTCCTTACTATGGAAATGCAGAAGGAGCTTTTGGAGCTGGGTGCCTGCCATGCACGCAGCCCACTGAGGTGGTTAAATGGCAGTGCCCACGTGTTGCCTTTTCCTGTGGCCCAGCATCTGCTCTGTACATAATAAACAGGCCTCCAKTGGCTACATGGACTGCATCTTTACACGGGCTGGAACAGTGTCGCTTGATGTCTGGGTTATGACAGCTTTTCAGAAGGTTTTTATACATTTTATATTGAGCTTCAATGGAATTGCAATGTAGAGGCAGCTTACAGTTTGACTATGGAAAAATTCTTCCCATTAGTAAATGAATTTTGCCATAATTTAAATGTGTAAGATACCTAGGGGACAATACATGGAGACTATCACAGATGAGTTGTCATAAAATTCTGGTCTCTGCAGGGCTGCAAGTCCAGGCAGCACAAGCTTGTGCTTTGCAAAACATGCGGGGATCTTATTGCATGGGGTTTTGCAAGAGAATTTGCAAATGAGAAGCCAGGTAGCTGTCATGTAAGAGTAGAGAAAGAAAGAAACCAATAAATCAGTTGAAAACAGGAAATTGCTTGATCAGCATAGTGGATAAGAGGGATGAGAGGAGAGGCTGTTAGGACTCTCCYCATAAACAGCGTGCATCCTTGTTGTGAAAATGTTATGAGAACTTTGGAGTTACTTAGTTACAAGGAAAAACATCACTCTTGGCTGCAGCTCTCGTAGGTACCTAGTCATTGGGCTCTTCCTTTGATTGCTGTGRTGTTGCTGAGACACCCCATATAAACATTTCATTGTGAGCAATGAAGCCMTTCTAATAACCAAGTCAACCTTCTGCACATTTTAACTCTTTGAGAAATCTCTTACACATGGGGCAATGCAGGAATCAACAACATTACATGTTAGAGGGGGAGAAAAAGCTAAAAATTTATCAAAGTAGTCAAGGAAGGTGTTTTTTTTTCTCCTCTTCACTGCTCTTTTGATATATCTAAGGGGAAGAAACACTGCAGAAACAGTACCTGATTTTTTAGCAGAGTAGAAAAAGGTTGTAGCTTTACCAAAAGCTTGGTGCAAATGTCTGTTCGGACTTGTGTTGTGTGATTGAAAGCAGTGCAACAGGGCTATATCAAAACCCTTTAGATTTAGATCGGTGTGTGTAAGGTGCTGGAGGCAAGGTTAGAACAGGATAGCAGTTGCTTGCCCAGTTCCCTGCTCAGCAGCACTTGGTACTAGTTTTGCCAGGACAGCACAGCTTTTGGTAGAAAAGAATCAAGTAGGGAAAATGAAAAAGGTGTTGCAGGTGACTCTGTCCTTGTCATATATGGACTCATAGGTGAAGGCTGCCTGGAATGGCAAGTCATATACATACACAGTCCTCTATAGTCAGCAAAGAGAGTTTCAACATCTTAAAGTTTATTCCTTGCCCAAGGCAATTTCTCCAAGCAATAAGTCACCTTCCACCTCACCAACCAGTTTCCAAGATACTCTTGGCTCCTCAGACCTTTGAGGCACACAAAGGCAGTCATTTGGGGATTTTTCCCCTTTAATGCTAGACAAAGAAAACATACTCAGTAAGGTTTTTTTGCARTGATCTTAAAATACTTTATTAGTCATATGAACAGTTATGAACATTAAAAGTCAGTAGATTTAGGCTRCAATACACTGACTTATGCATTCTGATGGTGACTACATTTTTTAAACTTATACATAAACATACAAAACTTCTACTATCCATAAGAGATGCAAAACAGAAATCAGAAGTAATATTTCATTGCCTTCCTGTAAAGATACTTGTTCCATTTTGATAGCAATGCGGCAGCTATCACTCCCACGGCAGAAGTGTTCAGGACAGGGCTCCAGCACAAGTGGGCACCAATAGAAGGGTAGTGGTTGTTCAGGTTGTTCTAACTCCTGGCTGATCTGGAGCAAACGGGCACTTGTCTGCTCTAGTCCTGCACTTAAGGTAAGATTGTGACAAGAAAATTGCTCTCACCATACTGCACTGAGGCCCACCATTTGTTTGTCACAGCTGCTTAAGTGAATGACTTCCCTCCCAATAAGCCATAAGGGAAACTCAAAGGAGGGAAAAATAGAAATAACCAAGCTATAACTCAGCAGAACATCTGGGAATATTTAGTGCATAATTCATATAACTCTAGTTTGGTGAGATAATCCTCTAGAGTCCAGGACAGATTTTAACAAACTCCATTTWATAGCTCGAGTTAGAAGCTTCTTTTGTATGAAATTCCAGAAAGGCAGGTATACCATCCTTGCCTAGGTCAGTATCTCAGATCTCACACTTCAGCACTCTCAACCTCTACTTTTCCTCCACTCCATGTACTTCAGAGAGCAAGGGTGCCACATTCAGGGACTCTGCTTCTTCCACAGAGATCTCTGTGCAAGGTAACATTTCATCCATGATTTGCTGCATGACTGTCTGCTGCTGCTCTGCCTCAGCCGCTGCTGTTTTTGGATCCCTTTCCCTCATCTCTTCATCTTCCATCAGATCCCAGGGAACTGTCTCTCGGTCATCCAAAGGGCAAAAAGCCTCCCCTGGTTCGGCAGCCTCCRTACAACATGGGCCCTGCCCCTCCTCAGCAGTCAGGACACTAGGCAGGGCCTCTTGCCATAGGATGCCCAGAAGCTGGTTTGCTGCCTCTGGAGACTTCTCCCCCAAATACAGCGACTCAAAGGAGTCCACGGAAGCAAGCTGCTCTCCAGCCTTGTCATTTGGTAGGACTTCCAAGGGATCCACCATCTCCCTGGTCTCCCGTGTAGCCTCCATAGCAGGTGGAAGTGCTGTCTCAGAGGGACACATAAGCTTGGCCCCCTCAATGAGCTCAGACCCTGTCTCAGGGGACTTGGCCACATCTGTGTCTTCTAGATGCTCATCACAAGGGCAGGTCTCAGCCTCCTCTACCACCAGCACAGCACCYGGGGACGGGCTCCCTCCCACCAGCCTCTCCCCAGTCTCTGCAGGAGGCTGGATCTCCCAGCTGGGGCTGGCCGCAGTCTCACCAGTGGTCTGCATGAGCTGGAGCACGTCTGCTTCTCGGAGACTTGTTTCAGCACAAAGGGCATCCTCACTGCCCTGTTCCGCCTGAGCTATATCTGCAGTAAGCTTAGCATCCTGAGCTGTGTATAAAAGCAGCTGGGCATCAAAAGCCTGAGGAATGGGTTCTCTCTCCTCTGTGCTACCTACTTCCTCCCTTTGCCACAGGTTTTCTAACTGGGTTAAGGTTGCGGCTTCTCCTTTAGTCTCTGTAACTGCAGAGGCCATCAAGAAATCTGCAGAGTCCCAAGCTGCCTTCTGAGCCTCAGTCAGTCCCCCGGTCTCTGAATCCAGGCAGGTGTCTCTGCTGTCCTCAGCAGAGCCAGGCTGCAGCCTCTGGTCCTGGCACCACGACTGCACCTCTGCAGGGCCTCTTTGGGAGGCATCCAGGACATGGGTGGGAGGCTGCTTGTTGATGCACGTTGATGTTTCCCCTGACACCTGCAAGATCGGCTTGGTCTCACTGGTCTCTTCAGTGCCATCTTCTGCCTCCTGCTTCATGCACCTCCCACAAGCCACACAACACATCTGCCTGCTGAAATTGCTCCCCATGTCCTCACTTAACAGAACCTGCAAGAAARAAAAGCCTTTTTATCAACTGCTTCACAGCAGCCTTACCTTCTATATCCAAGGTTTGTTTGCTTAATTCTTATACGACTTGACAGGGGAGCTGTAGAAGCAGCTGCTGTTACTTTGATGCAGTAACATAGTTTAGGTGCAGCTTGCTTCTAAGGCAGCCCCCTGAACTTAAAGGGGAGGCCAAGTTTATGCTTTCAGCCAGAGTGGCTATAAAGCAGGAGCCAAAACAAAACCAACGAMCCAGTCTTCAAGGATGAAAGACAAACCAGCCACAGTAATTCTCTATAGAGAAAATATTTTCCTGTAATTGAAACCACCTGGACCTGTTTTCTATACACAGCTGGTGCAGGAAGGTCAGCTTCAGTCCACAGGCTGACAAGGCTGCATTTTTCATCTTAAAAATAGGCATCCAGCCTTTCCATCAGAAAAAGCAGCAKCATATTTACAAGAACTATTAGAAAAATGCTCAGGCCATTAGGTTAAGCAAAGGGCCAATAAGCACTAAAAATATTCCTGAAGTACAAGCTTCATTTGTTGTCTTGTCATTGTATCCTAGTAGAGCATTTTTCTTAAAAAATGCTCTTGATAGCAATATGGCCTCTTTCTCTTTCCACACAGGGGGAAAGCACCAGAAGGAGACCACATAGCCTTCCCAATATACAAGTGCAATCTTTTAATATTTAATTAGAAAATAACATAATCACTGCTTTTTGGTAGAGGAGCCTTCAGCTTTTAATCACACTCTCAGCRTTTGAAGGCAAACAATACAACAGTTTTAAGTCACATGGCCACCTAAAGCTGCACAGTGTGAATCCATCTTTATTTTCAACAAATTTAGTCATTCACCAAGTACATTTCTTTATTACCAGTCCCCACAATTAACTTTCCCAGAACTACAGATTGAGAGCAGCATCCACCCTTTCAAGTTAAAACAAGCTTTTACTTACCAGTCTATGACAAGCAAAAGCAGCAAAATACCAAAGACCACAGACAGCCCTCAAGGACCTCAAACTCAACTTAAATAGTGGTGAGGGGCCACGCAAAACCCCTTCCCCTGGGTCTGTGAACAACAATGCTCTGAAACATTTGTTCCCCCCCATTCTAGTTCCTTTTTGGAAATAGATGTTACAGATACATCCTTTATATTGCAGTTGCAGGTCTTTTTTTGGCTATTTCTTGTTCTTTTTATCAGAGGATAAAATAAAAAYAAAATGCAGCTCCTCTTTATTGCAAAAACAAACGATGACTAGCAATAAATGTAACAGCTCACTATTGTAAAGCAGATTGGTTTGAAGCATAGGCGAGCGAGTGGTTYTCAGAGACAGGCTGGTGACGGGTGGTTTGGGATGTTCCTGGGCACCTTCTACCCTGACAACTTCAGAGGGAGTGAGAGCACTGCTAGTTTTGCTGCACTGGAAACGGGGCTGATCAGCATGATTAAATAAAGTTTTCATTTGGAATACTTTCCTACGTAGTTCCCTGCTTTTGTGAGGTCCCCCTAGTTGTGCATCTCTGCAGACTGTGCAGACAAATATAAATTGTTTGAGAATTTCACCTCAATGCTCTGAAAGTCTATTTTTTTTTTTTTTTTCCTTCTGCCGTCTCTGAAATCTCCTACCTGTCAAGGAGAAGACCAAATAACTTTCTCTGTCTTCAGTAGTAGTCAAGTCCTTGGAGATCTCACCTGATTTACATGTCCCTCCTAAGTGAAGGGAGGTCAGTCTCTAGGCTCACACATAACTCTTCCTCATAAACCATATGTGTTTTCTTAGTGCCTGTGCTCAGTGAAGAATACAAACATTTGTGAGACAACCAGACTGCAAAACTCTGGGTTGATTCTTTTCCTCTCTTATCTCATGGGGAATCTGTTGAGGGGGGAAACTAATTTTGTCAGATTTGCTGGACTGTGTGTCTTCAACTTCCATGGATTTCTTCAGGACAGGTGGAAATCAGGTTCCTTTCATCACACTTTTTTCCTACTGCCGGCAGCATGACAGTGGTGGTGTTCCCGAGGGACCAGGAGTTATCCGGGTCAAAGCCAGCACAAGAGACAGAAGAGTACTACTAATAAGCACATTACTAGTACTAAGTGATGTCAGCATGTTGCTTTATTAAAATTAAACAGATGCATTTAATCACACTAAATGGTAATAACATAATGAACTTAAAAAGATTTTTATTCATATTTCGGGTGTACATCCTCCATGTCGATTAASAGGGCTGAGACCTAATTGGTAAATGTGGTTTTCCGATATGAGGCAAATATGAAACAAAAAGCTTATTTAAGAGACTTTCATTCTGATGGCACAGTGTCCCAGCTCACATCTTACCCGAATGACATCCACAAACTCCTTTTCAAGCTACATATCTGACGTGGATACAGCTTGTGCATCTGGTGCACTAACTCTTTTGATACCTGGTAACATACTGATGATTATAACGCACATAGCTGACATGTTTAAGAAGCCCAGGATAGTTCATAATTGGTAGAGAAACTCTCTCTGGAGAACAATTGCAAATATCTATCAAGATCATCTCCCATAAGTGAATGATGTTGGCTGCAATATGAATCACTGCCTACCAGGGCACTTTCTAAATCTGTTTGGGAATATTCATCTTATTGCTGGCAAGAAAGGAACTGCTAAATGCAGTTAAGCTTTTTTATTTTTTATTTGTTTCTCCCTACTTATGGTTATTTCTAGCACACCGTTGATGACAGTCCATCACATTTGTTCGCTCACTATAGAGTTTCACGATGGCAAAGCAGGCTTAAAAATAGACTCCTGTGCATTAATGTAGCTCAGTTTGGGCATAATTTCTTGCGTAGGGAGCAAGCGTCACATCTGTGCRCTTGTCTTACTGCTCTTAGGCTTGCTCTTCATTTCCACGTAGACTAAAATCACATCTGTAATCATGTAGCATATCACATTAGGCTATTAATTCAGGAGATAAAGTAAACTGTTTATACTGTTTGGCATCCCAGACCAATTTCCATGTGAATGCAGAATGATAAGTGGTATATMTCTCAGTCCAAACTTCAGTTTAACGCTTAATTTGTGTGTGTGTGTATCCGTACTGCACGCTATATGTGCCAGAACTTTACTTTGAACTTTGGCCTGAGCTTTCCTGGAGGGGCAAACTCAACCTGGCAGCAAGATAGAAGCTTGCAGTTGGATAAAAGGCAAGTTAAGGCAATTTGGGGGTTTATGAATAAGTTAACTGTCTACATAAATACACTGTAGCTAAGCTGCTCCAYTACCAGTGTTGTCGCTGTGCTATGACCTAATTGTAATTGAAAGCTACTTTCACTGGGATAAAAGCTTCAAAGGTGATATACTGCTAAAAGGGCACAGAGGCAGAAATTGGCAACAGAACTATGTCAGATGATGGTTTTATCCCAAATTTTAGACTCATCACTTCAGAACAGCTGTCAAGTGTCACTTGTATATAAAGCACAGCCAGAAGGGCTGTAGATGAGCGTTCTCCATCAGTCAGATGGCAGTGTAAGCAGATTGCGGAAAGACCAGAGAGGTCAGCTTAAGAAAATAGTTTACTTAGATTGTAACACTGATGAGAAAGTAACACTGTAAAATAATAATTGTGTACATGTCTGAATGCGGGTCACAGTGGTGAGTCTGTGAGCACTGGGCACTTCAAATGGACCAATGAATAAAAAAAGTGATTAAAAGAGACCTGGTATTGCCAAGAAAAAACCTGTGCCCACAGTGCTCTACTAACTACTTTTCATCAAGGCAGATTTTTCTCTGCAAAAATTCCCAGTTTAGAGCTACAAGGCGTCGCATACAGGAAAGGTATGTACATGCTCTTGCAGAACAGCCGGGGGGAAAGCCCAGGCCCTGTAAGCCCATACTTGTGTGTTTAACATTTTCCAAATAGCTCTCTGTATCTGGATTGATTACTCGGTGTGAAAAAATAAGCATGTTTAAGTCTTCCCAAATTGGGGTTAAAATTTTGCTGTGGAACCAATGCTGGTGTAAAATTCYACAGCTGGTCAGCTGCAGGCAGAAAGATGTTATTAAACCTGTTGCTTTTCCTTTGTCTAATCCCTGTAGCACACTATGCCATCCGCTGCCTTTTCTCCGCATGCTTCCAGAAAATAGCTTTGTTTTCTGTCAATCCACAAATATTTGTAACAGAATGTCCCTGCTCAACACAAAAAAAAAAATGCAGAATTGTCTTTCACTCGGTCATTGTAGTCTGATTTCTGGTGGGAATACAAATAAAATGAAAACATAACTGCAAGGAGGAATCTCTCCCAAACAAACATAAAGGTAATGTTCTGTGCTGCAGAGCCAATAACATGTCTAGCATATAACCTGCAACATCCTATTATTAGATTTTGAAATTTAAGTGAGTTTAGGACAGTTTTCTAACCTTATTGCTTGAAACCATAAAATTCAGTTTGAAGCCTTACACTTGATCAGAGCCTATCAGTTCATTTTCTCAGTTACCCGGTGTTAGAGAGCCTGTTAAAGCACAGGAGATTATATAGGTGATTTACATCTAAAACAGGATAGCATTTGCCTCGCAAGTGCTGCAGAAGGAGCTCTCCAGAGAACAATTGCACATCCTGCGAAGATTATATAAGCAGGTAACATTTGCAGCAGTATCAGCATCTTCTCAGGTAGCCAGCCCCTAATCTGATAGGAAATTTTAAGWGCAGCAATTGCTGCTTTTATTTGCTTTGCTTTTCCCTGGCAATTATTTCCAAACTACTGAAAGTGCACAGCAATTCACACATGACTGATGGCTGTAGGAAGCTTCATGGACCAAGATTTCCCCTGAATTTTTCCTCTTCTGCAATGAAATAATCAGCTATGTTGATTAAAAAAAACAGAGGCAAGGTGAAAGTCAGTAGTATTTCTACTGATAAAGGGAGAAATTACACCCTCAAAACACCCCAAACACAAACTACCCATGGAACGAAGAGAGTATTGACAGCCAGGATATCAACAGACTTGGAGAACTGACATGCATGTGGAGGGAAAAGGAGAAACAGCCAACTTATTTTAGCGTAGATATTATTAAAAGCAACAGGAGTACAAAGGGAGGTAGACGCAACCGGGAAGCATTTATTAGAGAGGAAATATCTGCAGTTCGTGGCCTCCTGAGGAGTAACTCATCTTGCACTTTTCAGCTGTCGAGTACCACATGTTTCTGGAGCTTCTCTCCCCTGGTCTGGAACTACCCAGCCCATACAAGCTGAACCTGAAAAAAAGGGATTAAAACTTTAATGGAGAACACATTAGTGACATTCCTCTGGCTACAGGGATGCTCTACAGAGGCAGTGAGATGAGAGGGTTTGAGGAAAAGGTACCTGCAAGTGCAAAGCCTCCCAATTAATAAAGGGAAGAGTAATCATAAGAACAAAGCCACAAAGGAGGCCAGGCAATGCCTTTTTCCTTTCCCGGGGAATCAAATGAAAGCTGCCTTAGAAGAAATAATGATGGGACAGCCAAGCAATTTTCAGAAAGACGGGTTGGTAGAAGTGAGTGAAACTACAAAAGGTGCAAGCGCATGGAAAGGCGCTCGCCACCGTAGCAGAGCGAACGGGGACGGATGGCTCTGAGCTGGCAGGCGTGTGTGCAGCGCCGTGGCGGCGAGGGGCTCCGAGGGGCACGAAGCGCCGCAGCCTCCGCGAGCGCCCCGCTCCGCGGCTCCAGCACCGCAGCGGGAGGCGGCTCCCGGCCGCGCCCGCACCGACAGCCGCGGGCGGAGACCGCGTCCCGTGCTCGGGGAACCTTCTGGAAGGCGGGCGGGCCGCACCACGCACGCGCGGGGCCGGCCTTAAAGCGCGCACGTGGCGCGGGGAGCGCAGTGCTGCGCGGGGCAGCAGCGGCGCTGCGGCGTCACGCTCCGCATCCCCGCGCTGCCGGCTTGGTCTCCGCCTCCCGCTCCCTTCTCTGGTACGTGCGCTTCTGTKTCTAACCCCATGTGGGGCGCCGCCGCT